GTTTATGTATTGATATTCATTGTTTACACTTGGAGGTCATTGTCCTCATTTATTGCACAGTTGTTTATTCTCTTAGTCTTTGAAGGTGTAAGTCACAAACAATGCCACACCAGTTTAGAATTATGATTAATAGGGTGGTATTTATTTAAAGGGGAAAAAGCTTACAGATAACCATCCCAGACAACAGCCTTCTGCACAATCAGGAAGGAGACTAGTCGCCAAAAACGGAGCAGGAAGCAAAGAGAGAGTGAGGAGGGAAGACATTGCTTTTTTAAAGAGCAAGACCACGCCCCAATGGGCTGGTATCTCAGTGGCTATTGGCTGGAGGAGCGGAAAGACCTCCCACAACAAGTCTTTAAGTTAGATAGGTATTAAGAATTGTAGATCAATAGTCATCTATGTCTGTCATATTTATAGTTAGACTAATCAACTTCTTTAGATACATAGAGATTATATTCTGTGTAATAGTCTTCAACCTCTTTGAAGAGCTGTAGAAAATGGCATTTAATTTAATCTTAGAGTTCTGTGGTAGTGAGACACAATTACTCCTGGCAACACTGATCTATTCCTGAGAGATTGTTGAGCACCAAAGACACTTGGAGCTTGTCTTCTTCTTGGCAAAACCAGCTTCTGGGCAAGGAATTGCCCATACCTCAACTACTGACAAAATACACAGTATCCAGGAATGGATAAGCAGAACTGTCAAATCTTACCAATACAGGGTAAGACGGTTTTGAAAAATCTCTTGCCTGTTAAAATCTGGAAATGGATAAGCAGAACTGTCAAATCTTATTAAGACAAGGCAAGACGGTTTTGAAAAATCTCTTGCCTGTAAAAGATAATCTGTCAGTTATTCTAGGCCTTAGTCAAAGTTGGTTGCTTCAACTCTGCAAATGTGACTTTGGGTGATTGCCCAGGTAACTAGTTGTCTCTGTGATTTGTTACATGTTTTGGAAGTTGTTTGACTGCACTTCCTAATTACTCAGGTAACATTATTTCCCTTCTCGGTTCTTCTATAGGTTGAAGACTAGATAAATGTAGCTGCTTTCCTCTCATGACTTGCCCAAGTTATCTATTATGTGAGACTTGGGCTAGTTAGGATAGGATATTTGTTCTTATTGTATATAATTTTGTAGTAGGTTTAGAACTCTCTTACTTAAACAAAAGGGGGAGGTGCTGCAGGAATGCCTTCTGCTCCTTCCACCAATAGCTGCTGAAATACAAGCTCACTGTGCTGCGGGAGCGCCTTCTGCTCCTTCAGCCAATAGCTGCTGAAATACCAGCCCACTGGGGTATGGTCTATTTCCCTTTAAAAAAGAGCAGCAAACCTTGGCTTGCCCTCTTGATTCTGGCATTTGGTTCCAGCTCCTGCTCCAGCAACTAGACTCCTTTCCTGACGGTTGGTGTTTTGTAAGTTTCACCCCTAAAATAAATAACCCTTTAAATCCTAACTGGTGTGGGATTGTTTGACACATTAGAGTCTAAAGACAGCAGGGTGTGGGTTTTATCGGAAAATTCCTTTTAATCAATTGTGTTAGTTAACACAGCTGTAGTAATAATTTAAAAAAAATAGGATTTAAAACAATAACAATATGTGGGATCTCTCATTGGATGATAGAATGCTGCTATCACATTCCATGAGCTGACCTTGACCCAGAGATTTTAGAAAGGTCTCTTCACTTTGCCTTTTCCTGGTCATAGAGGCTGCAGCTTCTGAGATTGCAGGGGAAAAAAGAGAATAGAGATCAACCTACCTGACTTTTTCTACCATAACCTTACTCGGACATTCTGAATCAAGTTCACCTGTAATGACTGTCATCAGAATTACTCACCAATAGCAACAGATGGCTCAACTCACCTACAAATTTTGGCTTTCATAGGGCTTACATACATTATGACATAGCATACATTATTACATATATTATGGGAACAGTAATCACACAATTCATAATAGATAGATACAACATCTGTAGACAGCAGGATACCTATAGTGGGAGTAAAATTTGAGCCAGACCAACTTCCATTGAACCTCAAGGAGGCTTCAGTTTACAGACTGTGTGTCTTATAGAGTGGAGTTTAGGAGAATTCTCTGATTTCTGCTGTTTAGGTTTCCAGACTAAAAAATTACTAATTCCATGACTTATCTGGCAAATGAATCTGATTGTTTCTCACAAACATATTTACAAAATTATGGGAAAACAGAATGTCATATCTCATACCTCAGATTAGAAGCATACAACAAATATACATTATGTAATCTTTTGCAATATTGCTTCTCTTTGATCAGGATGGGCTAGAATGATACAGTGCCATCATCTTTTGTGAAAACCAAAGTGACAGAAACCCCAGGGTATAAGGAGAGGGGTACTGACTCTATGTTGCAACTTGTTTTATGTTCAGTATATGAAGAAAGCCTTGGGTTCAATAAGCTGTGCTCTAACAATATACAACTTATCAAGGGGGATGTATAAACTTTGACATGACTCTAGAATTGTCTTAGCTTTGACTTGGTGGTTCAGTGCAGGCTCACATGTTTCCAGGTTTTCAAGATAGACCAGTGCAGCACACATTTACTTTTTTGATCTGGTAGCTGGGTAACAATGAATTCACTTCTGCCTGTGTATAGAGAACAAATGTATTCCATATAATCACTGTTCATGTGAATCTTCTATGTCTCCATAAAATATCAGAGAATGTGGAAGTCAGTGGTCATTGATGTGAGTGATAGGGACAGTTAATTGAAAGTGGGGATATTATAAATCAAATTGTATGGGTGGACATAAAGCACCAAGAATTAATATATTTAGGAGTTGGATTTTTGGTGGCTCACCAGTTCAGATCATTTCTTGTAGAGCATGCAGCTTCAGTACCAGCTTTCACACGATGGCTTGAAACCACACCAGTTCCAGAGGTGAAACTGTCAAACTCATCTGTGGGTTCACCCACACATGCATTGCACATGCAGACAGACATACCAGTAACGTATAATAAAAAATAATATCTTAATTATAATTTTCAATAATATAAAGGATAGTCACCAAATGGAAAACATTTGCATAAGAAGTGAATTTTTCCAAAGCAGTTGGTATCAACTGTGAAATAAATTAACATTTTTATAAACTTTTTATGCTTGTGAGCATGACTCTTTCACTAATAAAAGAACATACATATATGATGTTAGTACATAAAATACATCAATATTAATATACAAAATTAGGGCATGGTGTATACTTTCATGTCCTTTGCAGGCTCTTTGATGAACCCCTGAAATGAAATGCTACTATAATATAATTCAAGGTCACATTAGCCATTGAAGTTCACATTAATAAATTTCTAAATATGACCACCCAGTTGTTCTTTCTAACAATACTCCTGAGGTCTATCATAGTATGAGGCACTAGTGCATGACATTCTCATCCTCCATGATCTTTATATCATCCAGGATGTTGACTGCTCACACAAAATGCTACATTTAATTCCCTCATGGAAACTCACACTAAGGCCATCATATAATTACTTCTAATGAGTTTATATCCTCTGAGTCCAATTATGGTTCTAAATCCCCATGTGTGGTTTCTAACTTTACTCTTTTACATGCTTCTCTTATCACAAATATTGTATTGCTCTACCCTAAAACTAAACTAAGGGACATTTCCTCTTAGTATCTGGTGATACAGAGATCATAGTATTTTTAATTTTAGAAAACATGTACATTCAATGACAATGAGTGATCATCTCTGAGATCTCACATTTTTTATGACAATAGCTTATGGAAATATTTTGGGTTAGGAGGTTATTGAATTCACATACAATAATCTGAAGCCTCACATGAACATTGCACATTCATATATTCTCAGCTGAATCTTGGGAATAGATGGAAAGAAAGAAACTCCATTACCTTGTCTGTTCTTGATAGTTGTAGGTATTATATAGATCATCAGCTATAAATAAGAAAAGTTATATAGATTTGTTTAACTGAAAAGATATGTTAGTTACATGAGATCCTTTTCTTCCTCATAAATTATGTCTTCCAGTAGAATTCTATTGCTCTTTTGGTAATCATTATGTGTGTGTGGGGGGGGGGGTTGGTAGACTGCATGAAAAAAGGGTGAAAATATTATGAGCCGTAGGAAAAAAAGGTTTTGCTGTGAGATTTTTTTCTGTCTCCTAGTAATATCAGCAGATACAAATATAAGGTCTCACTAGCATTACTAACCAAATGTAACCTGAACAGGAACGACAAAAAGAATACACAAAACTGGATGGGGGAAAGCCCATGAGACTTCAACTCTCTGCAAAAAATTACAGAGAGCCAAGTCACTGTGGGAGCAGGAGAGGTACTCCTCCCCAAGGAAGAGTACATCAATTGATTACACATGAACAAAGGATTATCAGAGAAAACATACTTACATGTAACATTATATGATTGTCACAAATTTTATAGTTATTAATATATACTCAGACAAATATAAGCACAAAATAATAAAGTAATAAAAAATAGATCATGGATTTGAAGGAGAGTGTAATGGGGTTTATGGGAGGATTTGAAATGCAGAAAGGAAGAAAGAAATGCCTTAATTAAAATAGAATCATGCAAATAAATAGAAAAAGAGCAATAGCCTAGCCAAAATGACATCTACAGCCACTTATAAGAGGATCCTGTAAAGATTTATATAATTTCTAGAATTGTACCATGTCTAACAGTTCATATAAATGGGGGAAACATTACACATAACAGGAATCAAGGAAAGTGCAGTTCATAGACTAGTGTTCTTCTTTGCTGTCCAAAGGAGAGCACATTCCTTACAAATAAACATAGGCTGCATCTTTGACTTGAGAGGACCACAGGCCTATAATTAATCACTTGCCCAATCCTGTGACTGTATCGAGCCATTGCTGATTTGCATGTGCACAGAAAACAGCTCACGGTCCTGACTACTTCTTCATAGACTGTTCAAACCCTGTGTTGGAGTCAGCCTCACACAGGTCACAGCACAAACATGACCTCAGTCACTTATCTCCTGTGGTTGCTACTGCTCTGGTTCACAGGTAAGGAAATGTATACAGTTTAATATGGTTGATCATGCCTGGTCTCAGGAAAAGTTCTCTTAATGTAATTAATTGTGTGGAAATTTGTTTCCAATTTTCCATCCTCAGGTGTCAAATGTGAAACCCAGATGACCCAGTCTCCAGGTTCCTTGTCTGAATCTCTGGGAGACACTGTCACCATCACATGCCACGCCAGCGAAAACATTTACAGTAGTTTAGCATGGTATCAGCAGAAACCAGGGAAATCTCCCAGGGTCCTGATCTATGATGCAAGCAGGTTGGCAGATGAAGTTCCATCAAGGTTCAGTGGCAGTGGATCTAGAACAGATTATTCTCTCAAGATAGATGGCCTGCATCCAGAAGATGTTGCAACTTATTACTGTCTACAAGGTAGAAATACCCCTCCCACAGTGTTATAAGCCATGACATAAACTACCTAGGGAAGCAGAAGTGAGAGTCCAAGGCTGATCAAGTTGAACCTTCTGTGATCTTCAGCTGCTAAAACTCTTTCTTTGTTGAGATATAAAAGTTAATGTGATGTTTTTGAACAGAGATCAGAGAAAATTTTATGCTGTAAATCTGTCTTCTTTTCAAACACAAGCATTAAAAATACAGCCATTCGACAATATCAGTGGAACTCTGAAACATAGCTTGCTCCCGTACTGAAGGGTCCAAGAGGTGAGTAAACAGCCACATGGCAGGATGTCCCACTCTCTAGGACCTACCCAGCAGTGCAAAACCCTGGGACCCTTTTCCAACTTCTTTGGCTTTTCTAACAGGCCAGCATGGAGTTTTCTGCTACTGGCTCTCCCTCAACCCATCTGGCCACAAGTCATACTACTACCTACATTCTGCACACAACCTGGCTACTCCCCTACAGTCACCCAGGAACTCTGAAAAACAGCTTGCTCCAATACTGAAGGACTTAAGAGATGACTGAACAGGCCACAGTGCAGGACGCCCCACTCTATAAGACCTCTCCAGTGGGACAAAACCCATGGGCATTTCCTCAACTCCCAAGGCTTTTTAAGCTGGCCAGCAGGGATTTTCCTGAAGCCAGACTCCACCAAAACCCAAACCTATTCACTAGATCCACCAAGATACAAACAACACCCCCACCTAAGAGCTGAGGGCTGGCTATAAAACCAAGAGGAACAGGAGTGTGCTACAGCACTGAGAAGATTAAGAGAGAGCACCAAGAGAGCAAACCAGGAGAGAAGACCAAGAGAGCACATGTATAGAGACCTCAGAGATGTGGGTAAATAGATAATCATTTAAATAGCCAAGTCTGTAGTCATGTTAGTTAGATTTTCTAGATGTATAGACATATATTTCCATTTGATAGATATTCTTCAAATCTTCCAGAGATCTTCAGAATATGGCATTTAAGCATTTTAATAAATTAGGAATTTTATGACATGAGACACATCTGTTCCTGGCAGCACCAATCTACTTCAATTGGAAGATGGGCATTAAAGAGGCTCTTTATGGAGTTTTTAGATGAACTGGACATGCAGGATCCACATAACTGCTGAACTTGCCTAAAAGTGAGATGATCCTTCGGGCTTCCTGCTTCATGAAAGAATCTGTGAGACTTATTGCAAGATACAGAAGAAAGTGACTGGTAAACTGCCAATATAAGCAGACCTGTTTTTGAAATTTCCTGTTTATTGGAAAAGTCTGCTGAATACTATGGGCCTGTAGGCCAAAAATGGATGCCCCAATGGTACAGAAAAACTTTGGGTGACTGCCCAGGCAGCGAGATGTCTCTTTCAATCTAGAGTTTTGGAAGTTGCTTACAATGTACTTCCTGTTTACTTAGGGAGTATTATATTCTTCAGGAGTCTTTGATGGAGTTGAATAATTTATAATCATAGTTTTCCATAGTCATGATAAAAGATAAAGTAGATATAAATATTGTAAATGCAATTTTTATTTTACACCTGCTTTGTTATATGTAATTTTACTATGTTAAAGTTTCCCTTCCTCTTTAACAGAAAAGAGGAAATATTGTAGGAAGTCTTTCTGTCTCTATGTTGCTTTCATTGGTTAATAAAGAAACTGCTTTGAGCCTATAGCAGAATTATGGTGGAACCTATAGAATTAGGAAGGGGAACCTAAATGGGATTCTGGGAAGAAGAAGGGCAGAATCAGGGAGAGAGATGCCAAGGAGCCACCAGAGTCAGACATGCTGAATCTTTGCTGGTGGGCCATGACCTCATAGTAATATACAGATGAATAGAAATGGGTTAAATTAAGATGTAAGAGTTAGGTAATAAGAAATTAGAACTAATGGACCAAGCATTGATTTAATTAATACAGAATCTATGTGATTATTTTGGTTCTTAAAGGCCAGGACAAACAAGAAGCTTCTTCCCTTGCAGCAATAAAAAAAAATTCCCCTTGTAATATAATAATCAAAACACAAAGCATACAGAATAAAGAAAAAATACTAAGAGCTGCAACAGAAAAAGGTCAAGTAACATATAAAGGAAGAAACAGCTGCCTGGCCACAATAACGTCGACAGCTACTTATAAAAGCACCCTGTAAAGATTTATATAATTTCTAGGATTGTGCCATATCTGTAAATGAGGGAAACATAAAAAGGAAATTCCACTTTACACATAACAGGAATCAAAGGAAAGTGCAATTTGTAGACTAGTGCTGTTCAATGTTGTCATAGAGAAGCACATTCTTTACAAATAAACATAGACTACATCTCTGACCTGAGACATAAGAGGGCCTCAGGCCTATAGTTAATCACTTGGCCAGTTCAGTGACTGTATCTAGCCATTGCTGATTTGCATGTGCACAGAGAACAGCCCACTGTCCTGAACAGTTCTTCATAGACTGGTCAAATGCTGTGTTAGAGTCAGCCTCACACAGGTCACAGCACAAACATGACCTCAGTCACTAATCTGGGGTTGCTGCTGCTCTGGCTTACAGGTAAGGAAGACATCATTGGAAATGTATACAGCTTAGTATGGCTGATCATGCCTGCTCTCAAGGAAAGTTCTCTTAATGTAATTAATTGTGTGGAAATTTGTTTTCTATTTTCTATCCCCAGGTGCCAGATGTGAAATCCAGATGACCCAGTCTCCAGCCTCCCTGCCCGTGTCTCTGGGAAACAGTTTAACCATCAAATGCCAGGCAAGTCAAGACATATACAATCATTTAGCATGGTATCAGCAGAAACCAGGGAAATCTCCCAAGCTCCTGATCTATGCTGCAAACAGCTTGGTAAATGAGGTCCCATCGAGGTTCAGTGGCAGTGGATCTGGCACAGAGTATTCTTTCAAGATTGGTGGCCTGCAGTCAGAAGATGTTGCAACTTATTACTGTATACAATATAAATATACGCCTCCCACAGTGATACAAGCTAGGACATAAGCCACCTAAGGAAGCAGAAGTGAGAGTCCAAGCCTGCTCAAATTGCTCCTTCTGTGATCTTCTACTGCTAGGACTCTTTCTTTGCTGAGATATAAAAGTCAATGTGATGTTTCTGAACAGAGATCAGAGAAAATTTTATGCTGTAAATCTGTCTTCTTTTCAAACACAAGCATTACAAACACAGGCATTCAGCAATATCCATGGAACTCTGAAACATAGCTTCCTCCAACACTGAAGGGACCTAGAGGTGAATGAATAGCCACATGGCAGGATGTCCCACTCTCTAGGACCTCCTCAGCAGGAAAAAAACCTGGAGCCCATCCCCAATTCCCTTGGCTTTTCTAGCCAGCCATCAGGGAATTTCCTGCTGCTAGGCTTCCCCCCAACTCATCCAGGATCGATCCAAGCTACTAGCTATGCTCTGACCCCAAACCCACCTATCCACCTGCAAAATCGGTGGAACTCTGAAACACAGCTTGTGCCAATACTGACAGGACTTAAGAGGTGAGTGAACAGCCACATAGCCTGATGCCCTAACTCTCTAGGACCACCCAGTGGGACAGAACCCAGGGGAACTTCCATAACTCCCACAGCTTTTCTAGCCAGCCAGCAGGGATTTTCCTGAAGCTAGGCTGCCCCAAAATCCAAATCCATTCACTGGACCCATCAAGATACTAACCACAACCTACCTAAGAGATGAGAACGTCTATAATACTAAGGGGCCAAGAGCATGCTACAACATCGTGGTAATTAAGAGAGAGCACCAAGAGAGCAAACCAGGAGAGAAGTCCAAGAAAGCAGGTGTATAGAGACTTAGAGGCTTTCTGAGACAGACATTGACAGTACAGAACAGACCAAGAAAAACTCCCAAATACTCAGCCACAGTAAGGATTGGACCAAACGCAAAGACATTCCTGGCCTCATTTGAAGGAAAAGATGGGTACGCACCAATGTCCGAATTTCTCCAACAACCTAAAAAGCAACATAGTAACACCAGAACCCAGTGTTCACACATCAGGAAGACTTGATCATCCTAAACCAGAAGAAGTAGAAGAAAACGACTTTAAATGTAACTTTATGAAAATTATGGAGATGTTTAAAGACGAAGTGAAAAATTCCCTTAAAGAAATAGAAGACAAACAAAAAATTGGAAGAAATTAATAAATCCCTCAAAGACCCCCCCCCCAAAAAAAAACAAGAAAACAGTCAAACATGTAAAAAAAAATTAGTTCAAGACTTAAAGACCGAAATAGTGGAAATAAAGAAAACACAAAACAAGGGAATTCTGGATATGGAAAATCTGGGTAAACAAAAAGGAACTACAGAGACAAGTTTATCCAACAGAATACAAGAGATAGAAGAAAGAATCTTAGGTGCTGAAGGTGCTGACATCAAGGGTAACTTAACAAGCAAATTCTACATTATATAAAATAAGAATCAAAATAAATTTCAAGTAATAGAGTAGTGCTGTTCTTCGTTGTACAAAGATGAGTTCTTTCCCTATAAAGACACATATACTGCCCCTCTGATCTGAGACCTAAGACAACAACAGGCCTATAATGAATCTCTTGGGCAGTCCTGTGGCTATGCCCCACCATTGCTGATTTGCATGTGCCCAGAGCACAGCCCACTGTACCGATAACTTCTACATAGACAGGTCACACCCTGTTCTGGACTCAGCCTCAGACTTATCACACACAGGCATGATGATCTCCACTCCTCTCTTGGGGTTGCTGCTGCTCTGGCTTTCAGGTAAGGAAGACAACACTGGAAATCTCTTCATTTGAGTGTGGTCAGTCCTTCATTGTCTCTGTGAAAGTTCTCTTAGCATAATTAATTGTGTGGGTAATTTGTTTTCAATTTCCAACCTCAGGTGCCAGATGCAACATCAAGATAACTCAGTCTCCAGCCTCCCTGTCTGTGTCTCTGGGAGACAGTGTCACCATGATATGCCAGGCCAGTCAAAACATTTACAGTAGTTTGGCATGGTATCAGCAGAAACCAGGGAATCCTCCCAAGCTCCTAATCTATGGTGCAAACAGCTTGGCAGATGGGGTTCCAACGAGGTTCAGTGGCAGTGGATCTGGCACACAGTATTCTCTCAGGATCAGCAACCTGCAGTCTGAAGATGTTGCAAAATATTACTGCCTAGAGGGTAGATATTCCCCACCCACAGTGATTGAAGCCAGGACATAAATTACCCAGGGAGACAGAAGTGAGAGCCCGGGCTGACCATATTGTTCCTTCTTTGGTCTCCAGCTGCTGATTCTGTTTTTGTTTTCTGAGTTATAAAGGTCAATGTGATACTTTGTGCAGGGATCAGAGGAATTTTTCTATAACATAAATTTCTGTCTTTGTCCAAGCACAAGCTCTAAAATCTCAGGTCTTGTTTTCATTACCTCCATAAAAAAAGGAAAAAAAAATTCTGAGTAACAGAAAAATATAAACAGCTAAAATTCATGCAATAGAGATGTTAACACACATACAGACGCACACAATCATAAACATGCAATCACATGCATCTGGGATAATCTTTGCAAGGATATTATTATCTAAGTATGTTAAAAATCAAACTATATTAAAATTGCAAGGAAGATGGCTGATAAGCTGGATTATTGGCTAAGAGCACTGGGTACTTTTCGTGAGGAACTGAGTTTGATTTCCAACAGCCACATTAATGCCGGCAACTGCTTGTGACCACAGTTCAAGAGTATCAGAGACACTCTTCTAGCCTCTGATGGCATTGTTTTAATATGGTACACAAACATATATAAAGGTAAACATCAATAAACATTAAATAAAAATAAATAAGTTTTAAATATTTGAAAAACCCCAAAGGACTAGCATTTGGTCGAAATGACACAGGAAACAGACTATTCACAGAATCTATATTTCATTTTTTTCTTTTTCTTTTTTTTTAACTGAAAAAAGGTGTTTCTGAGTCTTCGGCTATGGTGTCAAATCTCATAAGATATGAATGGAAGGGAAGAGCTTTCCTCCTTTTCATGTTTGTTTCTCTACTCTCCTTGCTAGGAAGGCAGGTGTCTTAGTTACTTTTCTCTTGTTTTGACATGACACCAAGACCAAGTCTATTTTTAAAAGAAATAATTCATTTTAGGGTCTTTCATTTCCAGAATGTTAACCCAGGACCAGCATTGTAGTAAGCATGGCATCAGGCAGAAAGGCAGGGCTCTAAAGCAGTAGGTAACCATATACTGCTTTATCTGTAAGTAAGAGTCAGAGCAAGACAGAGAGAAAACTGGGGATGGCTTGAGCTTTGGAAACCTCAATGCACACTCGAAGTGACATACTTCCTCCAACAAAGACATAACTTTTAATCTTTCTTGTAGGGTTCCAAAACTTGAACCAAACAGTAAAATGTGTGTACCCATCGGTAATATTTTCATTTAAAGCACCATAGCAAATTTCAAGTCCCAAATTAAAAAGAAAACAAAAGATAAGAAACACTTTAAGGAAAGACTAAGTCAAAATGGGGCAGGTATGTATAAGGGTAGCTTAGTACCCATGGACCAAACTGGGAATGATTTACAAGCACATTTCTTGTTATAATTTCATAAAGTTTAATTCACACCACTCTCTAAATAAAGAAAGCAGTTCATTCCAACCATGACTTCATAGGAGCCTCAAGTATGGCCATGTGTATCAAGAAGAGAGAGAGCAAAATAGGAGCAGTTAACCAATCTAGCTTACAACTGACTTTGTGTAGTAAGGATAAAATTTGAAAATAAACTGTATGCCCTTGCAATGCTGAAGAATATATGGGTAGCCTGTTTATGGCTGTTTTGTTGAACTTGTCAATATGGGTTTCATGATCTAAGTTGATGAGGACAACTAACCAGGTCTCTTCCTCAAGAGTGCACCAGATCTCATTACAGATGGTTGTTAGTCACAGTGTGATTGCTGGGAATTGAACTCAGGACCTTGGGGACAGCAGGCCATGCTCTTAACATGCTCTCTCCATTTTATGGAAAATGTCCTAAATACTATACTATTTATATGCATGGTATATCATGCATATCATTACAATCAAATGTATCAGGGGAAAAACATTAACAATGAACAAAGCAATTCAAAGAAACAGACAACCATATACATCAGACTTTTCAGCAACCAATACCACCTCCTTCTGGATAAATTATCTATTGAGCAAATTTTATGCAGGCTTTGCTGACTATGTCAGTGTTATTCTCCTGTGCTTCATTTTGATTATTAATAGAATTCATTCCTGTTCTACTATATGTTTATTTCTTCCTTTCTTTGAATAATACACCAAGAACCTAAGAGCCACAGGTGCAAATAAATCACAGAAAACATTAGTGAGCACAGTGGGATGGAGTAAACAAGGATCAAGGCAAAACAGTATTTGCTGCTTCCAGAATTTTAAAATTTGAAATTTGAAACTAATGAGTATTTTATTTGAGCTTAGGAAGATGCAAAGAGGTGGTATTTTACCAATGACATGATACAATTATATTGATTCTGTGAGGTAGAGGGAAAAGTTAGCATGAATCAGCAAATTGTAGCTTTTCAATCCAGATGTTTCCTTCCTCTATGTTTAAGATATTAACTTTTTTGGAGTGTTTATAAATATATAGCCCAGTATTTTTATAATTTCCTACCTCTTCCAACTTCTAGATCTCTCATGTATTTTCTACCACTTCCTTCAAAATTCATGATGTGCTTCAATTGTTATTGTTATACATGCATGCACATATGTGCAAAACGATACTCAATATGTCAGTATACCAGGAAGCCAATCGATGATGGCTGAATTTGGATAGGAAAGACCTTGAGCCCACAGAGTTCAAAATGGGTTTTGCTGCTCCTGTGCCTTTACATGTTTTCTGCTGCTATCTTTCTCTGGTGACTGGCATGGTGTGAAAGGAAGTGAAGAGATCTTCAATGCCTGTAATGTAGTATGTTTATATCTTGGAAACATCCCATTCTCCTGGAAATTTCTACTGTCCATTAATATGAAG